GCTGTGGTGAGTTTCTGCAAAGACTCCCTTCCTCAAAGAGGCTCTGCTTTACTGAAAGTTCAATCCGCCGTGGTTTCCCTGCATTCTCATGGGGGAAAGGTCAAACTCTCACACAAATATTTAGCAAGAACTGTCTGTCAGTCAATCGACAAGCATGTACTAATAGCCGCAGCTCACGTACTGAGGGGAGAAGAGAATGAATAAGCACAGGTCTTATCCTACTAAAGGCCACAGGCCATGAGGGGGCTATGGTTAGCTAGAAGCAAAGAAAGGCCCAGGCAGAGGAAGCTGTTGACAAAAACAAAACAAAACCCTGACACTGGGAAAGCATGCCCTTGTCAGATAAAAACAACCATCGTTGTGGCCCCAAAATCACTATTGGTGGTGTGCTGGTGAACCAACAACCGACAAAGACAGACTGAAAAACCTGCCATGAGGTGTTTGCTGCTTCCCGTGGTGTAAATTCTCCCACCATCATCAATCTCAAGCTGTCAGTGCTACGACTCAAGGGACACACAGCTAAAGAACAAAGAACACACAGTTCCTCCCAGGAGTTGGCTCAAGCTGGACTCAGCACAACTTCCCTTCCCATAGACATGAGCAGGATGGGGACAGAGCTTTGGTTCCTGGAACAGAGCAGAGTCTCAGCGAGAAGAACAAACCTGCTTGCTTGCCCTTCAGTGCACGCTCTGATTGGCTCTTTCATTAACTCAGTACTGCACTGTGCCAGTGTCCAAGACCACCCCTAGGAAGCAGAGGCACCGAGAAGCCCAGAAAATCTCCTCTCCAAGGCCTGGAGAACCAGACGACTTCCTGGAGGAGGCGACATCAGAGCTAAAACGTAATGGAGGGAGTAGGCCAGGAAAGGGTAAAAAGAGTTATTTCCAAGTAGAGGAAACAGCGTGTGTAACAGCTTAGTGATCGCATACACCCCTCGGTTAACCTCGCCAAAGCATCCTGTTTAGAAGACTTAGATGAACCAACACTGTCTGAAGTGCGTCACAGGTATTCATTCATTTAATGCTCAGATGATCTGATGGGGTATTGAAGGGTTTTGGTTCTGCTGGGCAGACGTAACAACTCAAACAGAGAAGTTAAATCAACAGCCCTTGATGGCTGGTCCGCCTGGCCTCCCTACGGGCTCGCTCTAAACATATGAAGTAGGTGTGGCTTGGGGGAATTTTCTGGGGTACCCAGATACGGCGAGCAACTGTAAGGTTAGTTTTGGGTTTCATTAAATGTCAGAGTGTGGGAAGTGTTTGGTTCAGCTAAAGTCCCCTCCCTCCCCTCCACGTACCACCACGGTCACAGCCCTTCCACACAGACCAAAGTATTGCCTGTTGTGAGTACGTTTACCAAGGCTATCGATCAGTCAGTCAACAAATATTTGGCGGAATCTTTATGTCTTGGCCCCTGGGATTTTGAGTAAACCCTGACTCACTTTTTGTTTTGTTTTATTTTACTTATAAATTTTTACTGAACTCCTTGTCTGGGCCAGGCCCTGAGCTGAGGGCTGGAGGAGAGAAGGAGGAATAAATCATGGTCTTGTCTCCCCCATTAAGGAGTCTAGCAGGAGGCAGATACGATGGTGGTTTTCTACGTTCGAAATAGCCCACGATTAGGGACCAGCAGGTGGTGTGGTGGTTAAAGCTCTGGCTACTCCTACGTGGCTCACCACAGTCCTGGACCTGGTGGCTTGCTTTCTCAGTTCCCCTCTTTCTCTTTCTCTGTCTCTCCCTGGTCAAATTGAAATAAGTGAATGAATAAATAAAATAAAATAAATCATTTTGAAAAACCCTCTCCTCTCAATAATAAGATAATGCTAAAAAATATTCCACAATCATGACATGGGAACCAGCAGTTAGCGTAATGGCTATGTCGCTGGACTCCCACGTAGTCGACCGCGGTTCGCGTCCCGGACCCGGTGGCTTAAAACTCATGCCGGGCGCGTGTGCGTGCGTGCCCAAGATCCCGAGAGGAGAATGGAGGAGAAGGGATTGCGGCGTGACCATCCCCCCTGGGGGGTGATTTCTCGCTTTCTGTCTCTATGTCTCTCTCTGTCTGTCTGGCGAGCGCACGCGCCCTATAGTGAAAATCTCTCCAAAAAAAAAACACAAAATGGAAACTATGTACGATAAAGGAGGGAGGTCCACAGCAGAGAACAATTCTGCCCTGTGCTTAGGGAGGGCTCACAGAGAAAAGTCCCCTGCGACTGGACTTCGTTGTGCTTGGTGGAGGGGTGGGGGAAGGAGAATCAGGAGGTACTGCTAATGGGTCAGGGCGAGGGGGTTTTCTAGTTTTTTGTTTGTTTGGTTTGTTTCGTTTTTTCCGAAAGAGGTGGTGATGGAAATGTTCTGCAGTGATGAAGTGATGAAGTGTGCCCAACTTTGTGAATATACCAAAACCCACTGAATTACAGGGGGGGGGGGCTTCAAAAATTTCTGAAATTGGGGCCAGCAGTTGGGGTAATGGCTATGTCGCTGGACTTCCATGTAGTCGACCGCAGTTTGAGTCCTGGACCCGATGGCTTAAACTCACACCGGGTGCATGTGCGTGTGTGCCCAAGATCCCGAGAGGAGACTGGAGGAGAAGGGATTGCGGCGTGGCCATCTCCCCTGGGGGGTGATTTCTCGCTTTCTGTCTCTCTGACTCTCTCTGTTTTCCTGGAGAGTGCAGGCGCCCTATAGCAAAACCTTTCCAAAAAAAGAAAAAAGTTTCTGAAATAATGGAATTAAAGTGCAAGTTTATTTTGGTGCACATTTTATTTTTGAAGACCTCTTCGTGAGGTTTGCTCATAATACACACTTTCTATGAATTTCTCAGACACCCTCACATATTTTTAAATGATTAAGATGCTGGCTTTTATGCGCCTTCTAACCTGATGAAGTACACTTGTTTCAGTGAGGAGCCTTGTGGGTTTGTTGTTGGTCATTGTTAAAAAAGAAAGAAAGGAAGGAAGGAAGGAAGGGAGGAAGGAAGGAAAAGTTTAGAGCAGTTTCAGGCATGGTTTGATCAAAGTGCTTGACTGATTTCTCCAGTTGGAAGGTCCACTGCCGTGATCCGTGAGACCGAACATGCTCCTGAGTGGGATGGTTGAAAACAGACACAGACACACGAGCAGAGAAAAGCAGGGATCGGGTGGTCCAGACTCCTCAGATGGACCCTGAGCGGGTCCCAGGTTTATTGTTTTACAGGGCAAAAGAGGGGAGGAGGTGTGAAATGAAAAGCCAGTTGTCTTCTGACGATATTGGCTGAAGATATGGACCTGCCAGCGCCATGCAGTCCTAGATGAGCTTTCTCTTACCTTCTCAGGCCTTCTCTGGCTGGCAGAGGTTTTTTTTTTTTTTTTTTTATGTTTATTTGATTTTATTTATTATTTTTAATTTGATGAGAGAAGGAGAGAGAGGAAGAGAGAAAGAGAGAGAGCAAGCCGCCAGGTCACCGCCTTGCAGTGTTGACACAGAGGCAGAAGCATACTCTTGTAAAAGCTCTCGCTAGCCCAGCAGCGTCAGCGCACGGCCTGTTTCTGCTTGTGTTTAAAGGTCACTGTCGTGTTGCTCGGATCGGGCTGCTCCCTACAGCCCACCTCTGGGACCTGCTTTTTCTGAGTTGTCTTCGTTCTCATTTTGAAGCAAGCCGAGTGAGTCTCAGTGGTGGGAGGGTGGCTTTCAGAAATCGAGATGTGTAACGTATCAACTTAGGAAGCACAAAGAAATCAACCTCTTTTTCTGTCTCTTTTATTTTTATTTTTTATTTTTTTTGCCAAAGGGACTGTGTGCTTGCCAGAATAGACAGAGGGAGGAGAGGGAGGAAGCACCTTCCGGTGGGGCATGGTCACACTGCAACCCCTCTCCATTTCTCCAGCAGGGTGAGATCTGGGGCATGCACATGTGCGCCTTGTGTTTTTCAAGCTGCAGGGTCTGGGAGTCAAATTTCTTGGTCGGTCACATGGGATCTGGTCCCCTCAACCACCAGGCCATACGCCAGCCTGCATTATTTTTTCTAATGATTCCAGTGGTACTAGAAAAGGCTCTGATTGGTTAGTTTTAATCACGTGTCTGTCTTTGAACCAATGTAGATTGGGGAAGGAATGCTCTGATTGGCCAAGTTTTTACTCATGTGCCCCCTAGACAACTAGGAGTGAGACCGGGTTCTTCTTCTTATTATTATTAATTTGCTATAGGGCATATGTGCTCACCAGAGAGAAAGAGTGAGAAAGCAAACCACCAGGTCTGAGACGCCATGTGGGAGTCCAGTGCCTTATTCATCATGCCACCTGCTGGTCCCAAGACTGGTTTCATAGATGTTACCTGGACTGAGAGGAGGAAGCCATTGACCCTGAGCAAGAGCAGGTGCTGCTATCAGAGGACAGGCAGGCACAGCAGAGTCCCTCTGGAGGAGGATGGAGGCACTGATGGAGAGCTAGGGAAGGGCAGTCTTGAGGTTTGGATCCGTGAAATTGCATGGCGTGGGGGCCAGGTGGTGACACAGTGGTAACAGAACTGGGTCTTCATGGGACAGATTCTGGGTCCAAGTTCCAGAACCTCCGTGAGCACACTGAGCATACGTGCCCGCGATCCAGGCCAGCCGGGACAGCGTGGATCCGGGGGGAAATCACATTGAGGGTCTGTCTGTCTGTGACTCTCTCTCAAGAAGAAAGAAAGACACTTTAAGAAAAGAAAAGAAAGAAAAGAAAAGAAAAAAGAAAAGAAAGAAAAGAAAAGAAAGTATAATGCTTGGTCTGGACATGGTGGCCAGGTCATCGTGTCTAAAGTAGATGGTCACGGTGTTTAGGGGTGGCCAACTTGCAGTGCCTGGGGGTGGCAGAGTCACGGTATCTGAGGATGGCAGTCGTGTGCCTGGGGCGGGGGTGGCCAGGTCACAGTACCTGGGAGAAGCAGAGTCATGACATCTGGGGGTGGCAGAGTCATAGTGCCTGGGGGTGTTAAGAGTCATGGTACCTAGCGGTGATAGAGTCATGGTGCCTGGGGGTGGCAGAGTCATGGCGCCTGGGGTGGCAGAGTCATGGTACCTAGGGGTGATAAAGTCATGGCGCCTGGGGGTGGCAGAGTCATGGCGCCTGGGGGTGGCAGAGTCATGGCGCCTGGGGGTGGCAGAGTCATGGCGCCTGGGGGTGGCAGAGTCATGGGGCTGAAGAGATGACAAGAGAGGGAACTGGGGCCAGACTGCGCAGAGATTTGGGCCCTGGCCTGCAGACTGCTGGTTCCCAGGCTCTCTTTCCTACACACACGGCTGTAAGCTATTTCTACCATACTTACTTTTATTCTCCATCGTTGTTTACTTAACTTTTCACCATATTGGCATATTTGTTTTATTTATGTAGCTTTATTTTCAGAAGAAACATCATTGCTATCACAAATGGAAAACCAGCATCTTTTACCATAAATAGAAGGAAACTGTAAAAACAAACTCAATGAAACCAAAACCAAGCTCTTCATTTCTGGCAAGATGCTGTAGTCCCTGGGAGGATAGTCAGGAGACAGAGAACTGAAAAAGCAATCGCTTTCAGCAGGCTGCATT